ATAGTACAACCGCATACACAACGATCGACTCTCTATCGCGGCGAGGTGAAGCACGGCAAATCTGTTTCTTACGCGTTTGTAAATATAACAAATAATATTAAAACTTACTTGAAGTATAAAAATACGAAGACGGCAAGCGACAACACGGCCAGGCTGAGCGAGTATCCGGCTAGGTAAATGTGGCTTGTGACGTCAGTCAGCGACGTGGAGGGGATGCGCTCCGAGCAGTTAGTATAGTCTGAGTAGTTCCACCACACCCCATTTTGGCATAATCGTGTTGCATTTTCTGAAATATATATATTTTTTTAATTAACTCATTAAGATCTAATTGAGTTTACTTTTTTTATGAATCCGTCCCGTTTCCTAGAGACACACGGTGTCCTTAACGATTTTGGTACTGTGACGTCCTAATGCCACACGGTGTCTCTAACGCGCATAATTTAAAAAAATATAAAAAAATTGAAGAAAAAGCCGATATCATTAGGGACACCGCGTGTCTATAAGATACGTGACGGGTTAAACTAGTCCTGTTTTTGAAATTCTCTTTAATCCTTTCATGGACAGTAACAGCATTTACTGCAAAATTGAATATTAGAATTATGATTCAAATTCAAATTCAAAATAATCTTTATTTCATAGGTAAGCATTATTACACTTGAAATCGTCACAATGGTTAAACTCTACAGATTCCCCTGAGAAGAATGAGCAAGAAACTCTAGGGGTTGCTCTTTGTAAATAACATTTACAATATTTTTTTTTTTAATTTGAAACATCAGATTGAGACTACCTCCATGAGCTAAATGGGTTACTACCACGGATTTTTGTCATCTAAGTACGCAGAAGTTGTATAATGACCTTTAGTATAAAGTTTTTGTTTCACTATAGTTTTAAACCTCGTGATAGTACTGGGTGCCCCGTTTCGCTACATGGATCTCACAAAACCAACAACGGTTTTCACAGTACAATTTCCAAGTGCTTTCTGTGTATTTGCCGCCTGCTGATTTTTTATAAAGAAGCATCAACAACGTACTGACAAAATTCCATGATTTACATACATCGAACATTTTTATGTTGAATCAATATTATATTGAAACAATATTTTATTGCGTCAATGGCCGAACGGTTACCATGACTGCCATGACTGCCGGACTGCCACGCAGATGTCCCAGGTTCGATTCCCTGTCCGGGAAAAATAATTCTATGGTCTATATTTATTTCTCTCGTAAGTTTTGGTTTAATTTGTGGTTGCCTATGTATGTGTCCATTAGCACCTGCGACACAGGGTTTCCCTAGTCCGGGGCTATGTTGAGTGTATGCGTTATTATTTAAAAAAAAGCACTACGGCAAAAAAGTAGTGACATTTGTGTGCGGTACTACATAAGTACTGTCCATGAAAGGGTTAATAGATTTGAATGATTATCATCATTGATTTCTGTTTGTCATTTGTGAATACAAATCCACAAAATAATATAAGAATATTATCTTTATGTTGTATACACTGTAGTATTCAGCATGTAGTGCATTTAATGGTTGTACTGCCGATGCATCAGCAGCATCTAATTGTCTATCCTATCATATCCGCCAACTTATTAGGGTATATTCTCGTTACTATTCTGTTTCTGTGAAATGATAAATATATCATTCATTCATTCTTTTTACGTTCCATTACTATCCTGCTATCCTGTCTGTCTTTTAGAACCCTTTTGTGTGTAGATTAGTTCACAAAGTAGCTTTTGCTTTAACCTAGGAGAAAGACCTCGCGAGTAAACCCATATTCGCTTAAACGATTCAGAATTTTTTTCGAAGATTTGTCTTAATATGTATAAGTCTTGAAGGTCAAACTATACATAGGGAGCACTATAAGTTTCCGGAACCTGGTCACTTACATAAACAGTATTTAAAAAGTAATTACAACATTTGGAACATAATGAAACACTTTGGGTATAGAATACAGTTTGTTTCATTTGATTGTCACTTGTGTTTACATTGTGGATTTAATTCGTGAAAATTTTTGTAGTATGATTTTCTACGACTTTCAGTGCAAGTTAACAGCTCAGCGGAGCTTCGCTCGGCTTCAAATGGCGTATGGTGATAAAGCACCATGCAAGACGACTATTTACGGCTGGTTTTCAGAATTCAAACGCGGTCGTGTGAATCTCAGTGACGAATTTCGTGATGGTCGCCCGTCCACTGCTGTGAACAACAAAAACATAGATGCTGTGCGCTGTATGCAATGCAATAAATGCAATAAATGTATGCAAACATTAATAATAATAATAATGATAATTCATTTATTCGCTTCAAATAGGGTGGGGTACATTACACATGTTGATGGTAAAAATTAAATCAGAACTAAAACCTATTCAGCCTTCTAAAATAAAAGCATGCAAATACAATAATAAAATAATACATTGGTGGATTGAGATTCGATTTTAAAACAATAATTAGGCAACAAATTGATAAATTTAAGATATGTAATTGATTTAATTTGATATGTCAGAATCGTGTATGTCATAATTTAATAAAAATAATATATATATATATATATATATATTTTAATGATGGGAAAAATGTATGCATCAATTAATTATTCTTTATGATTCATGAATTCGTCAATAGAGTAAAACAAATGATCAAAGACCCACATGTGCAATTCCTTTTTAAAATTAGTCAATGGTAGAGGCTTAATGCGATCTGGTATACGACTAAAAATTTTTCCACACATTACATACGAGTTATTTAGAAAACGTTTTGTTTTGGGTATTGTATTTAGTACGACTTTATTGGGCTTCCTTAGGCTTCTGAATGTTACGTCCTTCGCTATTAAGAATTTCGATAGATTTCGTTTCACGAATATACCAACTTCGAAAATGTACAGGCATGAGAGGGGCAATACTCTTAGTGTTTTAAAGTGAGGACGACATGAGACATACGGTGCTACATTGCTTATGGCACGTATACATCGCTTTTGAGCAATAAAAACCTTCGCAAAATCTGTTCCGTTGCCCCAAATTACGATACCGTATCTGAGTACAGACTCAACATACGCAAAATAGGCAGTCCTGGCTGTGCATTTATTCGCTACTTTTGACAATTTGTAAAGAGCAAACGCAAACCTATTTATTTTAGCACATACTTTGTCCGTTTGATCCCTCCAATTCATCTTTTGGTCTATAATTAATCCTAGAAATGTCACATTGGTTTCGTTTCGCAAGATTTGTCCTTTATAATCCATGTCAATTGTCTGTGTTCGTAAGTTATTAAAATTCATTATATTAGTTTTAGTTAAATTAATTTGAAGATTGTGTTTTTGTAGGTAGTCAATTAGTGATGTCATTGTTTTTTTCAATTCGTTTTTATGATATTCTAATGTTGAATTTGTTGGAGAAGTGACAACCACTGAAATATCATCTGCGAAAAGAATTATTTCGTGTTCCGTGCTATCACATACGTCATTAATATATAATAGGAATAGCAGGGGACCAAGTGGACCAAGGGGAAAAAGCTGTACTCACAGTTGATCCCACACAATTTGACTGAGGCTCAAGAAACGGATCGCGCCATTTGGTGCAATGCCATGCTTACCATATTCAACGAAGGGGCGTCTGGTGTGGTTTGGTGTGGGACATAGTAACAGGTGACGAAACATGGATTTATAGTTACGATCCCAAAACAAAGCAGCAGTCGTGGTGAGTCGAAACCAACCAAAGTGGCGCGCGTGCAAAGTGCCACTAGGCGGTATATTGCTTCTTTTTTTAAATAAAACTGGACACATGGCTACTGTTGCTTTGGAGAATCGTTGTACCGTGAATAGTGATTAGTACACGACCATTTGTTTGCCGGAAGTTATTGACAAACTTCGTAAAAATAACCGTAAACGCCGTATCATCTTGCACCACGACAATGCCAGTTCTCACACGGCCACACAGACAAATGAATTTTTGAAGGTGAACAACGTTGACCTTATGAGCCATCCCGCGTACAGTCCTGACCTGGCACCTTGTGACTATTATTTATTTCCAAAAATTAAGAACCAGTTATGCGGTCAACGATATTCATCACCTGAAGAGGCTGTTGAAGAGTATGAAAAATATGTTTCAAAGATTGCCACCGAGGAGTGGCATAAATGTTTTTAAAATTGGTTCATTCATATGAAAAAGTGCATTAACGCTAACGGAGAATATTTTGACAAATAAGAAATTCATTTTTGACCATTCATAATATTTTTTCTTATTCATTCCGGAAACTTATAATGCGCCACATGTGTAAATATCATGGGGTAATAGAATATCGTATGAGACGATATTGTTTTATAGTAACAACAAGCACATAGCATCAGTACAGAGTACAAAAAAACCTCACCTCCAAGTTTGCCACCCTTAGCGGTGGAATATTCTTCAAATTTAAATGGGACCACTTTTGTTGACGAACAAAAACGAATTCTTTTTTGAAGTCGTTTAAAAGTAACCTTTTTTACTAGGAAGGCGTTTTTCCAATGTCGATATCGATATCCGTTCCTTACTGTTTCACATATAGGATATAAAATTTTATATGTGTTTGAACACCGATCGAGAATTTGGAAAAATAACACAGATATACAAAAATGCACGAAGCTAAATTTTTTCAATTTAATTGACTAAGAATGCCTGCCTCTTGTTCTTTATGTGGACTGTCCTATGGCCATTGAAACTGAGTTTGATTTTCGCCTGCCAGCTAGTCATCATCATCAACCCATTTATACGTTCGACTGCTGGGCACTGGGTAAAATTCAGACGAGCGTTTAGGCCAAGGTTCTCAAACTTTTTAGCACACCGACCAGTTAGGCACGATAAAAGAACTTCAACGCCCACCATCACAAAAAATAATTGAAAACACGTATTTTTTAATATTAACTGGACAGTATCAACGTCCCCTTTTGCTTCCGAGACCTCTAACGCGTCCCCCTAGGACTCTAACGCGCCCCCCTAGGACTCTTCAGCGCCCACTGGCGAGCGGTAGGGACTAACTACTTTGGGAAACTAAGGTTTAGGCCATAGTTTGCCACGCTAACCTAATGCGGGTTAGGGACTTCACACGTTTCCCAAATATTGTGAACCTTCCTCGACGTGCAGTTTTCATCACGATGTTTTTCTTCACCGAAAAGTTTATGGTAAATATCAAATTTTTCCCAGATTCGAACCCGCGGCCTCTGCTTGAGACGCGGTACGTCAAACCATTAGGCTACTACGGCGTTTTAACAGCTTGTACCGTTTAATTATTCTAAATCATTTGCGGTTATTTCTAA